ATATATATATATATATACATTTTTTTCCGGGGTGGGGACACAATTTAATCCATAGCAATAGGCTATATAGGAGATCACTGAGGAGGAAAGTCGGCGCCCAGGCAAACTCCCTTAGGCTGACAGCATTAATAATGGGATTCAATTTACACAAATTCAATTCATGCCCAACTTTTTCGGAACATACCAATTATATAAGGAAGAACTTAGCACATTATCTTGCACCTAGTAAGTAATCAATACTTATTTATTGTCTTGCTGATCAGTAAGACAAACCGTATATGTATTGAAACATCTTAATTCCAACACAACAAAGATCAGGTTGCCTGTTGTATGTTGTTGTTAGGTGCTATCGAGTCAGTTCCAAGTCATAGTGTCGGGCACAATAGAACAAAACACTGCCCAGTCCTGCTCCATACTCACAATTCTTGTTAAGCTTGAGACCATTGCTGCTGCCACTGTTGGGGGTCCTCTTCTTTTGTAAATACCCTCCACTTTACCAAGCACGATGCCTTTCTCCAGGGCCTAGTCCCTCCTGACAATATGCCTAAGTATGAGAGGCGAAGTCTTACCATCCTGGCTTCTAAGGAGCGCTCTGACTGTACCTCTTCCAACACAGGTCTGTTTGTTCTTCTGACAGTCCATAGTACTTTCAATATTCTCCTCCAACCCCATAACTCAACTGCATCAATTCTTCTATGGTCTTCTCTATTCATTGAACAACATTTACATGAATGTGAGGCTAATGAAAATACCAGGTTTGCCTAGGAATGGAGAAATAACCAGTCCCTTGTTCTTCTTCCAGCCCCCACCCCCCCAATCTGCTTTCACCAATGCTGTGAAGAGGCCAAGCTGAGGTCCAATCCCACGAAGGTCCGGTTTTCTGAGCAGTTGGCAGTTGGAGAAACAGATGCAGTAAGTGCAGCCTCAGCTACCTCTCCTGGGCCCTTGACCAGAATTGCCTTGGATGTCAAGGTCTCATTCAGGGCAGTTGCTTGTCCACTATTCCTCCTAGTGGACAGCTTTAGCAAGGAGTTGAAGTGGGAGGACCCCAATGCCATGTAGACTTGTAATGAGTGAGGAGCATGTGATATCCAGAGAAGCCCTGGGTGTGGTGGGGAAAGGGAGTATGTACTGAGTTACTCAGGATCCTCATGATGTTTCCAGAAATTTCATTGCTCTCACACTCGTAACAAATGCTTCATAAACATCTTTGGGTTACTTAATAGAAGTAGGAAGGAAGGAGTGGTTTTCTGACGATCCCTTGGAGGGGCAGCTGGTGAAATTGAGCTCTCTTCACATTTAAGTGATCTTACCACTCCACATCTTGACTGGAAAAGACTGTGGAGGAAGCTTCCATAGGGAAAATGATACAGACTCTCATTAAGTCACAAAGTCTTAAGTAGATACCTGTCGGGCTCTCAGTCCTACATAGAATGCAAAATAGATATTGGTTCCCTGACACTGGATAGCTCTCAGTGATGTAGGGATAAGTGGTTCAGATTGAGGTAATATAGAATCTATGGCTGGGTGGCATTGTTTCAAGGAGAGGCTAATGTTCAACAGCCCAATATGGGGAGGCGGGGTCATGGGCTGCCCAAGAGAAGTCCTGGTTGCTCAGTGGATAAGTGCTCAGCTGCTAATTGAAATGTCAGTGGTTTGAACCCACCAGTTGCTATACAGGAGAAAGATACAGCAGTATGCTTCTGTAAAGATTTATAGCCCTCCTGGTGTGATTAATGTGGGTTAATGCACCAGACTGCAAAGCCGTTTGAATCGCAAGGTTGGCGGTTCAAGCTCACCAGCAACATTTCAGAAACCCTCTACAGGGTCACTATGGGTCGGAACCAACTGGATGGCACTTAACAACAACAAGCTTTATGAGGGCAATTCTGTTCTGTCCTACGGGGCCGCCAAGGATAGTGGGCTTGGTTTAGGCTTGTTTGGGGCAACCCACAGTGTTTTTCATTGCTTTGTAGGCTTTGCATGCTGTAAGTTGTCTGCTCCAGATGTGCAAATGAGAAGAGGTGGGTGGAGAGCAGAAAGATATGTGTTAAGCAAGAGTGGATTGGGACCCAGGGTCCCGGAGGAATCCTCAGAAGTTGGTGAGAATGCGGTGGGGATGGGGGTGGGGAGAGCTGGAGCTAATAAACACTGGTGTGCTTTTTCAGGCTGTGCTCTCAGGAGGCCCTTGTCATTTATGTACTGAGGCACAGCTGCAGTTGTTGAGAGAAGATCGCAAGTCCAAACTGAACAGGGAAATCAATGGGGTGCCAGGCACTTATAGAGTGTGTTGAGGCAGAACCACTCAGAAGAAGGGAGAAGATACAGATGTCTCCCAGCCCCATTTCCCTGACTCTCAGCCCCAAACTGTGCTCAAGGCCTTCCCCATTTCTGTCCAAGGAAGTCTAAGGAACTAGAGGACCCCACTAGGCAAGTTGCCATGTCAATCCTAGCACAGAGGTGGTGAACAGAAAGGAAAAGAAGTGTGGAGTACTTGCAGATCAGGATGAAGCAGTCCCAGAGGTCTAATCACTAAGAGGACATTAGTGTCCTAAACCCTTGAAAATCCAGAGGAAATGTGACTTGAATTTGGAAAGTATAGGCAAATGCATTCTGTTCCATCTCAACATTTCAGAATAATCAACCAAGGCCAAGACCCTCAGTGAAGAACTCCCTCGCTTCTGCTTCCCTCCTTTAACTCCCTCACCACCACCCCGCCCCCTTTCTCTCTCCTCACCTTCCCATTCCTCTTCTCTCCCTTCCCTACTTTCTCTTTCCCCCATTATGAATCCCGTCTTCATTCTTTTCAGCTAGGCCACAGGCAGAATCAAGCCCCGATTCTAGACCCATCGGAACATAAATGCCCCAGAGTAGCTAAGACCCACCTAGACTTATTTCTCTCTCACCCGGACAGACCACCAGACAAGGTTTGAGATCTGGCTGTGAGAGAAACAGTTATCAATCTTCCGACTCTAGCTGTGCTCAGGAAATTACCTGATGCCCCGACAGCAACCTCCCTTCCTCCCTGCCACCAATGCAGTCCATATTAACCTCACCATTGGTCGGGGCCTGGAAGAGTCCGGGCCCAGGTGACTCCCGGCTATCCTATCATCCTTTTCCCTTCGTGTTCTAAGGCTTTATTAAGCAGCCACAGCAGAAATAAATCCTGTGGGCGTTCCTTGCCAACTCTATTTTTAAGCAAAATCAATTAAGTAATTATCTGAGTCCAACCCAGTGTGCTAAATAAAACCTGCCACCGCTGAGCATCGTCAGTCTGAGGATCCAGGGCCTCTGGGCTTGGCAGGATTCTTGGGATCAGACAGAGAGAGCCAGGGAGCCACACTTTTTCAATGTTCTATAGCGTCACTTCCAACCTTGGCTTCACCCCAGCTAAACCAGACTCCTGGCTTCCACCACTGCCAACCACACCACAACCCAAGATGAACCATGACGTTGGTGGTTCAAACTCACTAGCTGCTCCTTTGAAACCCTATACAGGGTCGGTATGAGTCGGAATCGACTTGATGGCACTTAACAACAAGCAACATAGAACTCATGATATTAGCCTAGGAAAATGGTGAAATCTTCTTCTGATTCTCATAATTAAGTAAACATATATTAAACACCACTAGAGTTCTTGGGGAGGAACCCTGGTGGTACAATGACTTAACCAAATGGCCAGCTAACCAAAAGGTCAGAGGTCCCCTTTTCTCCCCCCTTGAATTAGGAAACTGGTCAGAAGTTAAGGCCAGTTCCTTGACAACCAGCAGAAAGAGAGCAGGTCAGACTGCCTTGGTGCCATTCCCAGTTACTTAAACCCTAACCAATTGGAGTTTGAAGAATCAAAGTACCCACTGAGGTTAAAAACAACACACAAGAAGACATAACATTTACCATCTCAACAGTGGGATTTGTACCCAACTCTTTGCCTTATGAAAGGCTGTCATAGTTTTAATAAATAATGATTTATCCATTTTCATCCCTGAAGCCTTCCTGCAGTCCTATAAAATACACCTAATTCCCCTCCTCAGGGAGACAATTGTGGCAAAGATCTCCCTGTCTCCCTGCATTTTCAAATTTGCAATGAAGTGTCCATTTTCTCTTCAAAAAACAAAACAAAACAAAACCTGCATCTGGGTCTTCTTGGCCTCACACCTGCGGCAGGCAGAGAACTCAGGTTTTGTATGTCATGAGTCCAAACCCAGCAGATGCTCCACAGAAGAATGATGAATCTGTGTACTCATTTCCAATTTACGTTCTCAGAAACCCCATAGAGCAGTTCTACTCTGTCCTGTGGGGTTGCTGTGAGTTGGAATCGACTCAGTGGCAGTGGGTTTGGTTTGGGGATTTAGAATCCCTGGGTGGTAAAAATGATTAGATGCTTGACAGCTAACCCCAAAAGGTTAGCAGTTCAAACCCCCCAGAGACCCCTCAGAAGAAAGGCCTGGCAATCTGGTTCCAAATGGTCGCAGCCTTGAAAACCCTGTGGAGTACAGTTCCACTCTATACATGCCATGAGTCAGGATGAGCAGGTTTGGTTTAGCTCATACCACATATTCATTCTGCAGCTATTTATGGTGCCAGGAACTCTGTTCAGTGTTGGGATTGCAGTAATGAATAGGACATGGTCATTGTGCTCTGAGTTCAGCATTTGATGAAAAAGGCAAATATTTTCCAGAAATATGATAAAGAGTTCTGACAGGTGCATATAAATTGCAATAGGAACACATGGGAAAAGCAGGTCCAAGTATGTGAAGATAGCTGGACAAAGTTGCAGATAAGACATATATGAGAGCACAAACAAGATGGCGGATTGGGTGGACGTGTACTAAAGGAGCTCCGCCAACAACAACACACAATACCCGACCAGGCAGGCTCAGGGGCTGGTCCCAGAACTCTGAACCGCATATAAAGCAATATTTAGAAGGTTGGAAGGCTCACAGCTGGGGGAATTTGTGGCAGAAGCAAGAAATC